AAAAAAAAAAGAAAAAAAAAACAGAAACATTCAGGGAGTGATGGGAGTTATTGTGTTCATTCACACAGTTTTGTTTAGCTTAAGGAGTTTTGCAGTTTGTTCTTACTGCGTGCTGTTACGATGGCTCCCGTCAGCACACCACTTGTTATAGCGTTCCACGGGTCCTCTTTACCTCTCAGGCGAATTAAAGCACAGTCGACTGCAGAGAAGACTCCTGCCCACACAGCAAAGCTACCTACAAGTAAAAACAAGGCAACGCTGGCAAGATGGGTGGACTGCATGACGTTTTGTTTTGACAACTGAAATTAAATCAGTTGGATGCTCAAATAAAAAAAGATCCAGCTGCCCTGTTACACCTAAATATAGAAAAATGTATTTCTGATCAAAATAAATAAAAGTAACAACAGCAACACAGTAAAAAAATAAGACATTCTTACCTCCGATCTGTGGAGCTCTTACTCTCACTGCTTTAGCACTTCCTTTCAGTCTGTGTCCAAAACCCTGAAATAACGGTGACCAGTTAATAAATGTTTTAAAAATAAAGAACCAAGGAGCAAACATTTCGGACTCACAGCTGGGGCATTTCGAAAGCCCTTGATTGCCTGGAACACCCCACCTCCGATGGTACCCAACGTGAAAGCTCCTCCACAGTCTTCCAATATCCTCCAGGGGCTGCAGGCACAGCAAGATCCAAATACAAACTTTAATCTACTGAAGTTGTGATGTTGTGTAAAACACAAATAAAACTGAATGCAGTGATTTAAAAATAAAACTTTTTAATCTGCATTCAATTGAATTCACAGAGACAAGATATTTAATGGTAAACTTTACTGTTTTTCTATTTTTTTCAATTATTCACTCATTTTGAAGGTCTGCAACAGACCTTGCAACAGTTCGTGTTGCAGGGCGGCCAAAAGATGGGGGAAATTGAGGAATGTTCAAAAAACACCAGTTTGGAGCATTCCACAGGTGAACAGGTTAAGTGGAAACAGGTGAGTGTCGTGATTGGATATAAAAGGGAGCATCCCTGAAAGGCTCAGTCATTCACAAGTAAGGACGGGGCGAGATTCACCACTTTGTTAACAACTGTGAAAACAAATAGTCCAACAGTTTATGAACGACGTTTTTTAACAAACATCTGAAAGAAAGTTAGAAATTTCATCAYCTACTGTTCTAATTTGGACAAATCTCTACAAGTAAGCAGCAAGGCTGAAAACCAACACAGAATGCCTGTGCCCTTTGATCCCTCAGSCAGCACAGCATTAAAAACTGACATCATTCTGTAACAGATATTACCACATGGACTCGGGAACACTTCAGAAAACCACTGTCAGTGAACACAGTTGGTCTCTACAGCAACAAGTACAAGTTAAAACTCTACCATGTAAAGCCAAAGTCATATATCAACACCCAGAAACCCCACCAGCTTCTCTGGGCCTGAGCTCATCTGAGATGGACTGACACAAAGTGGGAAAGTGTCCTGTTGTTGTGTCCTCTGGACCAAAGAGGAAAAGGACTGTTTGGATTGTTATCAGAGCAAAGTTCTAAAGACAGCCTCTCTGATGGTATGGGGGTACATTAGKGCCCATGGTATGAGTTACTTGCACATCTGTGAGGACACCATTAATGCTRAAAGGTACAAACAGGTTTCGGAGCAACATGTGCTGCGGTCCATCTTTTTCAGGGACGTCCTGCTTATTTCAGCAAGACAATGAAGTCACATTCTGCAAGTGTTCCAACAGGGTGGCTTCATAGTAAAACAGTGTGGGTACTAGACTGGCCTGCCTGCAGTCCAGACCTGTCTCCCATTGAAAATGTGTGGAGCATTATGAAGCACAAWACATGACAGAGACCTGGGACTGTTGAGCAACTGAAGTTGTTCATCAAGCAAGAATGGGAAAAGAATTCACCTACAAAACTTCAACAATTGGTGTGCTCAGTTCACAAACACTTATGTGTTTTTAACACAGAAGAGAGAAAGCTCTGAAAAAAAGGCAAATGAGGCAAATCCAATCATCACAAAAACACTTAGTAGAAATGTTTACTTTTCTGTCCAATTAGGGCAATTTGTAACAGGACAATACAAAACCCCATATTTTATGTAATGATAAAAAGTTCTGGATGCTGCTCTGCCCTGAAAGGACACACTGAAAGAAAGCACGTTATGACAAGAAAAATAACAAATAAAGCCTAAAATGTTTAAACAATAAACTGTGGAATCGTGACACTTTCAAAGATAATTATTACAAAACCTGGCGTGCTTTGTTTGTTCCCCTTGTACTCTTTATACTCCAACAGAATTAATTGTTTTCAAAACTCATTAAACTATTTCCATAACCTGATGTGTTTGCTTGTGGAAAGTGACAAACAACTTCATGCGGCAATGTTGCAAACCATTAACTGCGTCTACTTAAAACAGTGGCTAGTAATATTTTGCGGTTTAGGGATAGTTAATGTTTACACTTACAGACTAAACAACATTTGAACAACTTTCTGCCTTTACAATGATTAGTGCCTTAACTCACGATGTTCGTCTGTTCATTGTTGCTGATGAATTACATATTTACAAAACGACAATAAAACATGGGYTAACCAGTTTTAAAGTACAACTTCAAAAAAATAAACATTTAAAAGCTAATCTTACCAARGTTCTCGGATATATTCCTCCATGTTTGTTGTCGTCGAGAGGTCGCGGCRACGTCATCATTGTGCGCGTCGTGTTTCCTTTTTGCTGCTATCGTTCACCCTGCTATCGACGTTTAAAATAACACATTTCTTTGGCACAGGTAAACGTTTATTATTTTTTTCGCTCAATCGGTGATTTCTGTATAAACATTTTTTTTTTATTGCTGCTGTAGAAGCTGTTTTCTTGTTTCAGCGCCGCCTTGCTTGTTGCTTTAGTGCAGCTGTTGCTAACAGTTAGCCCTGGGGCATGCTTGTTGTTGTTTGTGGGAAATAAATTTACGATTGCACACATTTTTGAGGGCGTTTTCTAAAACTGAAGTCTTTATATTAAACAGACATTACTGCTATACTAAGTTATCGTTTTTCTGTAGGTTTCAGAAACAAAAGCAGAATGTGATTGTGATTATGATTGTAGCAGCTTAGCTTTTTACTCAGTCGTAAATTTCAGAAGTGCTCTTGATGCTATAAATTATTAAATATAGAAAGTATGAGTGTTATTTAAAATAAAAGTAATGCATACAGACATCAAATACTGCACTTAATCTCATTGGATGATGTTGCACTGTGCAGAAAGTATGAGTGTTGGAGAAATTTTAGTGTAAAGYAGTTTTGTTGTTAAAAATAATTGCAGTCTGTCCTGTTTTTGCTTTTGTTTAAAACCTACCTGCAGTGCACGCTCTGACCTTTTTATTAGCATCAGCCTATCAAATATATAACATTTTACTTTCAGTGTTTGATGATTCTGTTTCTGTTCTTTTCTGATTATCACTCAGGGTTGCATTACAAGCTAATCCTCAAACCTGTAACTCAGGATGCCTCTACCTCCAGCACTGCTGGCCCGCTTGGCCAAGAGAGGGATTGTCAGACCAAGAGAATATGGTAGTTCTCTGGACGTGTAATCCTGGGATAAATGTCTCGATACATCCTTTCTCTGTTTTCTTGCATTGTACATCCAACCTATTCTGCTCAACTAAAACAGGTCCAGATGAGGAGATTATTGCTGAAGATTATGACGACAACAATGTAGATTATGAAGCCACCAGAGCAGAGGGTCTGCCTCCTAATTGGTACAAAGTCTTTGACCCTGCTTGGTACGCACTCAAATAAATTTATGTTTTAATTATTGGAACATAAATATCAAAGGAGTTCAGTCAGATATTTATTTTGGTTGTTCATGCATCATAAAATAAAGTGGAATTGTCGATCAAATTATTTTTTAAATGTTGTTTTCTGTAATCTACAGCGGCCTTCCTTACTACTGGAATGTGGAGACAGATTTGGTCGCCTGGTTATCTCCAAAYGACCCTGCTGCAGTGGTAACAAAAGCTGCCAAGAAAGTAAAAGGTGTGTTTTGTTTTGTTTTTATCTTATTTTTTATGTGACTATTTATTAGTTCTCAGTACACCTGTTGTAAACTAACACATTATGGCAAGTTATTGCAAATGATCTCAAAGTACAGTTTGTTTTTGTTGGATTTTGTTCTGGATGTATTTTTAACTTTGATTTTACTTTTTCTTTCTTTCTTTCTTTCTTTTAAAGCTGATGTGATAGCCGAAAGAGGTGAGAAACCAGCTGAGAAGCCGGAAAGAGAGAGGGAACGGGAGCGAGAACGGGACAGAGACAGAGATCGGGAAAGAGACCGGGACAGAGACAGAGACCGGGACGAGGGGAGAGACAGAGACAGGAGAAAGCAGAGGAGAGAGGACGTGGCACCGTACAGCAGGAACAAAAGAGGTCATGCCTGCATGTGCATTACTGTAAATCACACATTTCTGCGCTGAAGTTTTGTTTTGTGTGTTAAATATTAAACACTCATTAATTTTTTTCAGGAAGGAAAGATGATGAGATGGACCCGATGGATCCAAGTGCTTATTCTGATGCTCCAAGGTACAGTGTTTTAACACTACATTTATTTTTGTCATCTCAGGAAAAATAATTGATAAATTAAAGATTTAAAATAAGCTCCTTTATTTTTTTCACATTTAAAACAATTTGTCTAATTCCATYGTTTCCTTTTTAATAACCATTTAAACTATTGCATCTCTCCTGTCGCAGTACGTAAAGAGCCTCGAAGGCACGTCTGACATTTAAAGGCTGTTTTTAATTTAATGCAGAGGGCTGCAGCTCCTGTGTAACATAATGCACGCTGGTTGGAAACTATTGCTGGCACTGCAGAGCAGGCGCCAAGTCACATCACAATAAGACCTCGTGGGAGCGAAGTCACTGCAGTCCCACCTCTCTGGTTTCACCAGCTGGGTGCAACCTCTGTAACAGCAGAACATCACTCTGAGTGATCACCTAAAGCTTCTGTTCAGTGCTCTTCAGAGCCACTATCCCAAACAAACAATGTGTGATTTTTACATTACCATGCAGTTAGATTTTCCAGGTTATTTCAATGAATTGTTGCACATGGCCCACTCACTCGAAGTGTTTTCATTAAACATTAGAACATTTCATTAAACATTGGTTCAAAAGGAAAAACTGCATTTTTTTTTCATTAGTTGCCTTTTCTTAAACCTTTCAGCTACCAATACAGTAGTGCCTTTGCTCAAAGTGACTCTTCAAAGACTAATAATGTGTCCTTAAAATAGGTGGAAAAATTAAACGAGAACAAAAAAAAGGCCACTTCAGGATGAGCAGTCTCTAAAGTCATGGTTTTAAGAAATAACGAGGGAAGGGGAAGAAATCAATCAAAGACCTGAGACAGGGTTTGAGCGATGCATCCTCCTTCAGCTGATCATCGACTGGATGTCAGGTTTTCAGCTAACAGCTCTTTGGGAATTACCTTGTTGGTGATGAAATATGACTTTATTTCTGTCAAGCTGTGTTATCTTTGGCACTTTTTATCAATTCTGTTAAAGAAATTGGAGCAAATTGCTTTTGGYACAGACTGCTGATAACGTGCCTAAAGATCAAATTTAATAAGAACTCTTTGCAAAGTGAACCATTAACTTTTGAGACAACTTCCTGAAATAACTCATCAAAACACCAGAAAGGCTGCCGCCTTTAAAGAAATAATGTTTTGCTTAAAACTTGTGTACAGAACTGTGATGAGCTGGTATTTCTATTACTGGTTGTCATACTGTATGTAAAAAAAGTCAAATGAATTAGAAAATAAAAATAATCAGAGTAGCAGCATAAAGCACAATCACAGCCATTCAGCTGTCTTGATAGGCTGACAGTGTTTTTGATCAACCAAAGTGTTCATTAAGACAAATGTTTCTTTTTAAACAGAGGTTCTTGGTCAAGCGGCCTGCCCAAACGCAACGAAGCAAAAACCGGTGCGGATACGACAGCAGCCGGTCCTCTCTTCCAGCAGCGGCCGTACCCCAGTCCAGGAGCTGTGCTACGAGCTAACGCCGCTAACCAACCCCCCAAGGAGTAAGAGGAGACCCCACAGAGACGGCAGCTTCTACTCTTCATTGTTGTTCAGCTCTTTAACATCCTACTTATTAAATGTGTAGAGCGTTGCATGTTGTAAATATGTTTTATAAAAAGACTGACTTTCATGTTGCTACTAGAACCATCAGGTAACTTAATAAAATTCAAGACTGGTGTAAAAATGAGCCGTTGGAACTCGTTTTAATAAAGCATCTGCACGTCTAAAATTCTTGACAAGGTTTTATTTTTAATAAAAATATCGCACAGATTTATAATCTACTTACCAGTTTTACAAACAGTAACATTTAGGATGAGACAGGATTTACTAAGAACATTTTATCACAACACAGTTCGGAGGGTCAGTGGTCAGTTGCTCCGACATATTGGCAAATAGTGTCATAATCCAACGTGAACACTTTCTCCTCGTATCGGTCAAGCTGGACCATCGCTCTGCACTTGTTCTTGTCCCGCTGAAGGATACGGCCGACCTGCTCACACAGAACACATTGATTAGTAAAATTAATTATTCTGCTCAAATATATTCACTCAAATCTTTAATAGGTGGTTCTGAAGATTATAGAATATTTGACTCGATAAGGCCGGTGAATGTCTTGGTAGTGATCATGATTAACTGCAGCTGGTGGTTTCTCTTTGCCAGGATAAAAACAATTTGTCTTACAGCACTTTTTGGACTCACCATCAACATTAGATGAAAGAACTGGTTCAGATGTTCAAGAACAGGAGGACCACAAAGACCCGAGCCTGACCAGAAGTGGAGACTGCTAGAACTCATGTCTCTGTTCACAACAATGTAGGGATGCACCCATTACAGTTTTCTGGCCGATCACAGATCTTTAAAAAGTCTGACCTGCAGATTCTGATTATTATGATCTTGTCTAAGTATCGGCTGATCTCCGATCATAAAGGACATCGGTGCCAATGAATCTGATTGATTGGCTGATTTATCGGTGCACCCCTACAATAAAGCCAATTTTACATCACCATGGACTGACGAGGTGCCAAGCAGGAAAAGAAGCTCCTGCTCCAAAAAACAGCAACTAAACACCATGTGGACAAGTCAAGAACCTCCTGGAGAAACATTTTACAGTCAGACTTGACAAAGACGGAGTTATTTGTCAATAATGACATGAACTTTGTTTGGAAGCGTCACAGTAAGGCTTATAAACCTAAGAACATTGTACCAACTGTTAGGCATGGTGGTGGTAGCATCATGATGTGGTATGGTGAATAAAGTCAATGGAATAATAAATAAATTCATTCTTCAACTGCAGCTGAAATCAACACAGACAGTTGTTCCAACAGGGAGATGACTTCAAACGTGAGAACTCATTTCTGATTGGATGAAGTAGCTAACATTAATCTTCTGGACAGGCTTTCCCAAAACTCAACACTATAAAAATTAATGGAACATGGTTAAATGCCAGGTTTGTGCCAGAAAACCAACTGATTTCAAGAAACTACCAACTCTGCCAAGCAGAGGGGTCAAACAGAAATATATTAGAAGCTGGTTGGTGGGTACAAAACATCTTTAGTTGAGGTGCAACTAATTTAACAAAATATTAGTGGGGGTGTATGAATATATTAGAGCCTGTGTGTATAATTCTAACCCTGTGTGGATTAGGTAAAAATCATGTTGTTTCAAGCTGTATCAATAAAAAGAACAGCTTTAATAAACCATGAAAGCAAAACTGAAAATGAGGATATGATGAGTGAATGTAAACATTTAAACTATTTACTGCAGAAGTGACGAGCAGCTGCTCACCTGTCCTCTGTGTTCACCCAGTACAACCATTACTGAGTCATAATCGCCTTTTGGAATGATGGTTTCCAACATGTCCTGCTTCACATCTACCACAGAAAAAAAACATCTTAATCAATCACAGACATGCACAGCGATGATTACCATAGAAGCAGTAAGAAGTAGATTGGGTGATCAATCACCAATTATTCTCTGCACAATGACCTGAAGTTTGCTCATATACTGCAAGGCATGGATTATCTCTAATTCTCTCTAAATGTATGGGAACATCATAACAACTGTCTGTGTATGAACTGCCAGAAAATATGAGGTTTAAATTTAAATTGATGCATAAAATAAAGAAGTATCTCTGCATACATTACATTCATCACATTAAGCAACACATTCAATTATACACAAGGCTGAAGCCAGCAAGTGATGTAAAATTAAACTAGTTTATAGAAAAAGTGCAGATTATGAGTTTATAAATAGTAAAAATCTACTAACTATGAAGAATACTGACATAGTTGAAAAGATGACACATTGCTTTGTGTATGTATTGTTTTTATCTTACTCCTATAAATAAAATAGTTTTCCAAAAGAATGATAGTTATTTTATAAGAAACCACTATGAAGAATACTGACATAGTTGAAAAGATGACACATTGCTTTGTGTATGTATTGTTTTTATCTTACTCTTATAAATAAAATAGTTTTCCAAAAGAATGATAGTTATTTTATAAGAAACCACAACTAATAACACATGCATGTCTCAACACGCTCACAAACATGCTATTAATAACATGTTAAATATTTAATCAGTTCTAAAAGTTAAACACTTTAAACAAGAGGTCATCCTTATTTTACATGAGCAATGCATTCTGGGTCAGTGAGGCTACGATCGTGCTCAACAGTGACCAGTTTAATATTAATGTAGGCAGTAACACCTGGTTGTAGTTACTTTGCTTCATAGCATGACGAAAACATCTTCCTAAACATCTGCAATCATGTTCCTGCAAACATTTTTTTAAAACCAAAATTCATTTGGTTTTTTTTTTTTAACTTGAGTCAACTGGAATGAGTTTTGCTTGTTGTAACAAAACATTGAGCTGACTTTGCCCTACCATGTTTTTACCATATTGCTGATTTATTTTACAATCCTATGAACGTTTGCACAAATTAGTGAAAACGTGTCACGCTCACTATCCCATCTGGTTCATATTTTTCCCATCATCTTATACTGAGGATTGTCTTCAGCTTTTAATGCATTTATGTTCAAACTGAGGCCCAACAAGTTCCATTTATATTAGGTCATAAAGGTTCCCACTATTTAACATCATCAACCCCCATAAAACTTTGTGACATAAATAAACATCAAGAATGAAAATGTGTCCTCAAATATAAGAAAAAAAGCATGTTGTTTATAAGAAAACAGCAAAAAAAATAATATATAGGCAACACGAAATGACTCCTGAGTTGTGACGACTCACCGTCTAACAGTCGTCCCTCTTCTGTTCGACACACACAGGTGAACGGCGTCAGGACATCCTCCACTCGCATCTGCACAACCACCAGGCTGATTTACAAACTGACATGGGACTCACATGGTGCATTCTTCCATTACTTTTTATATGACTGCCTGTTCAATAATGCAAATATCTTAAAAGTGAGGAGTGTGGATAATAGAAACATAAGTAGGATTAGTTTTCAGATTTTCACTACTATACACTTGTGCTACATAAAGACCACCAGTTAATGCAAGTGTTTCCCATTGATTAAAGGCTGACCCAAAGAAAATGTACAGAGGCTCTGGTACCTTTGAGTTGTAGTACCTGCCACCCTTAAAAACTTTGTCTATGAAGCGAACTTTCAGGTCTCTCTGGAGCCACGAGGGGGCGGCTGCTGGCTGCTTCGCTTCTTTTACTGGAGGCTTATCTCTACATAGGAGGAGAGAAAAGACCAATTCTTTATCAATAATAGATAATTGTAATAAAAATAAAGAGGATGAAATAATTCAGGTTCACATATTGATTGTTAGAAAACATGAGAAACTTTTTTCAGTGTACCTGTCCTGACTGGATTCTCTGTGTTTCCTCTTCCTCTCCTCTCTTTCAGATGACTTATGTTTTATTTTGTCGCTGCTTTTATTTTTCTCTTCGTGTCTCTGCCGCTCTCTCTCCTGCTCCTTTTCCCTCTCTTTCTCTTTTTCCTTTTCTTTGTGGGCTTTACTGAGTCGGCCTGTTTGGGGAAAAAAATAAAACCATCATCATCATTAGTACAACAACAGAAACCGACATTGTGAGACTGTGATTCTGAGTCATATTATTCTAAGAGGAGACTTTACTGTTTATAAAAGGTGTGGCCTAATCTGTTGTTTATGTTAGTTGTTTTGCACACAGTCTGAAATGTCTTTAAACGGAAGAAAACTCCATTACTGGTTTTTGTCCTGAAATAATTTCCCAGTTGTTGAATCTGACAAGCTACACACTGGCACCACTCACTGAGATCCTTGCTGTTTTTGTCGTATTCTTTTCGCCCGACCAGTCTGATGTTATACTGGCTGACTGTCGCAGTTTTTCCACCTATGGCGAGCTTCACCACCACTCGAGCGTTGTCTGCGTCAACACCTTCTATCTGAAACACGTTGAGAAAAAAAATCACAGAACTAAGACTTTAATAAACAGTAGAGAAACCAGACATATTGTCTACTTTTGTTTACCTTGCCATAAAGATCTTTATGTGCCCCTGACTCCACCAGCACACAACCCCCCGGTCCCATCACTAGTTCCTCCTCTTTCGCCCGCTCCTCGCCTGGCTTCGGGGGACGCTGGTGTCTGCTGGGCTCCAGATCCTTTATCGCTGAACGATCGGCTCCGAGGCCCAAGCCTTTTGGACGGAGCTGGTGTTCGATTGGCTTCACATCTCTTCAGCCGACAGGAAGAAAGAGCATAAAATCAATAAACAAAGACGTGGACATGTGCAGGATCAAAAACAAGCTGGAGGCCAACACACCTTCAGCTTTGTTCGTGGGATTAAAGCTAAACTGAGACAAGTGATGAATCATGGAGATTTGTCCTCGGTATATAAGAAAGAACATTTGTTTTTACTATTTTTATTCACTCACAGTCTGTGTTATTATGATTTTCTTTTTGTGGTTAGGTAATTAGCTGTGATGCTAAAAACTGCCTTGTTTTTTAAAGCCATGTTTAATGTATGCCATCTTAAAGTACATAAAATATTTATCAAAATGGTTAAGAATTGACAAGCTACTAAAATGATTTGGTTTAAAAGATTCGACAAGGAACAAAATACCATTAAATTTGGTATTTAATTGAGTTTAATTAATCAATTTCAGAATAACATAATGTAAAAATAAAAATGATAAAAATAAAACTTTATGTAAAAATAAAAAGAATTTAGGAATTTTGTCATAACCAGTGAACAACAACAATAATAATAATAATAATAATAATAATAATAATAATAATATTCTGAGAATCCAGAAGCATTTTTGTACAAAGGCAACAACAAGACAAAAAAACAAACTGAAAGGCTGTGATATTCAAGCCTCGAGGCAACACTGCAATAAAAATAGAAACAAAACAAATGTGGTGAAATTTGCTTCAAGAGCTCAGAAACACTTCAGAAACCAGCGAACTCACTTTGTTCTTACAGCCACATATTCAAATTAAAGCTTTCCACTATACTGGATATATACACACACATACATATATATATATTTATAATATCCACTGAAAAAATTTTATTTTGTAAAACAAACAAAAACATATTTTACTTTGAAATCTACAAGAACCACTCTCATTTGAGTTTAGAGTGCTGTTAAAAGAGCAACATGATACAACTCACTTTTTTAAAAGTGGTCTTCCAGCAGTTAAATGTTTAATTACAGATTATTGCTTTTTATTGACATTGTAATAAGCATTTTCACTCATTTGGGTGGTAAATTAGGAGACAGAAGATCAAAGCAAAAGGAGGTGAAGCTGTCACTCACTGTTTAAAGGTTCGTCCGATGCCTTCGCCTTTCTTCCAACCCATTCCTTTCAGCATGGCGAGTCCATAAGCTTCAACAGGAACACTYTCATAATCCGCCTCTGTGGACTGACAAACACATGCAGGGAAATGATCGACTTTGCAATCAAGTCTCATTAAAACCATAAATAAATGAAGAAATTAGGAAGCAAACTGCACCAAGACCCAAATGAAGATCTTATGTAATCTTTGAGTTCTGAAACGTAAAACTGTTAATGGTGAGTGACAGAGAGGAAGGTTTGTAACGTCGGCCTGACTCAGCCTTTTGGCCTCAGGCTGTCACACTCAGCCCAGACTGATCTGAGCAGTCCCCCCACTCATTCACGTCTCCACTGAAGGCTGTCCTCTCAGGGTGCCCAGGGGGTCGTCTCTCTCAGAGGAGACGGGATTAAAATAAGCTCGCTCGTGGCCACAGTGAGCCAGCTTGTCCCAACTCTTGCGTGCTGCCAATCATAAACAYGGTGATTGAGCGCTGACGTAAGTTGAAACTGAGGAGACGCGCGAGCCCCTTTTGTAAAAAGAAACAAAGAAAAGCTCTGATTGGTTGCCCCCCGTGTCTCTGGGGATAACGCTGATGCCGCTCTGCCACCGGAGAGTCATCGCTGCCTGTTTGTGCATCTATACATGCACACAGCAATGTTGTTTTCCTCAGCATTTTCACACACTCAGATTTCAGCTGTCAGTCCTCTGTACAAGACATTTTGTACCGTCAGGTATTTTCATGTGCTCACTGAAGCACACGCCTGAAAGATCTAATCACCGTCTGCACGTCACATCATCCTGTTATTTATCAACTTTACAAAGTTTAAAATGTTGAAATTTACAGTGTGAGAGCATCACTTTTGTAAATAACTGTTGTCCAAATGCTTTTTTTTCCCCAAACAGCAGCTTTACATGGAAACAATGGAACGATGGAAACAAAATCATAAAAACATCACTTAGTCTTTTGAAGATTTGTTTTAAAATTTAGAATAACCGACCAAAAATGTTCCCATTAAACAGCAGTGTCTGGTCTGTGTGATTTTAAATTCCTACTGATCTGCGAGTTAGATGTTTTCCCTCCACTCTTTTACACGCTCTCATGTTTGTGTGTACATCTCATGTGTAATTTCCATGACTTGCAAGTTGCCATGAACGTTGTGCTGAAGCATAGAGATATTATCAAGAGTTAATTTACACACACACAAAATTAGATAGTTCTTATTAAGTGTCAAAAAGTGACAGATTCTAGCAGCAGAATCAGTCATATATTTTTCTTTGTCTCTTAAATTTTTTTTACTTTACTTAAAAAGTAAAGGTTGTTTAAAAAAATTGGTTTGAAATATTTTCCCACGCTGATTTATCGATTTCTGCTGGCACTCTGAGCTGTTTTTAAATTCTGTTAACTAACTTCTAACTATTGCTGCATAATATTAGTAAAAATTGCGAGGTATATTTTCCCCTCCATTTCTAATCTGTACTTCCTACTCTATGTGACCTTTAGCCTTTTTGGCGATGTCATTTGTGTCTGGTATGAGCTTTTGCTGCCGTTTGACTCTGTCCTACTGGTTAAATTCTGCATTAGCATGAAAAATACAACTTAAAAACTCTTTAAATATAGTAGTCAACAATCATTGCACTCCAAGAAGTCTTTTGCAATGTGAATATTGTGAAGTCCAACTTCTAAYGAGAGAGTTGTTTACATGTCAGTGCAGCCGATTGGAGTTTTTCAAGGTTCAACTGAGAACAAAACCCTGTATATCTGGTAGGGCTGCCACAAACGATAATTTTTATAATCGATTAATCACCAATTATTTATTCGATTAGTTGACTAATCGGATCAT